TTCCAGGGAAAAGAAAACCAGAAGAGAGTGATCTAGGCCAGAGAAGTCTTGGAGCACGTAAGTCCCTTCTGCTCAGGCTCTAAATAGTCGAGGTGGGGGCGGGGAAATTTCAGGTCTCCTTTTGAGCCACCACTCAGAAAGCTGGACCTGGCAGGTCCAAGAGGCACAGGGAACAGAGTGAGTAGGATCTCAATTGCATCATAAAAGGCACTTGTATCAAGAAGCGCCTGTGCTTCGTTTAGCTTATCCCATCCTTGGGGGGTGGGGGTGCTGGCTGAGTCAGCCTCGGAGGGACCTTCCCTCTTACTTGATAGGAGTGAATCATGACTCTGGCTGAGATGGGAACAGGTTGAAATCTTGGCAAAGGAAGAGCTTCTGTTGGCAGAGAGGGAAGAGCTCTCTGGGGGCCACGCATTTCTCTGTCAGCTCTCGCATTCCCCAATGACAGGCACAGCTAAGGGATCCTGGTGTAAAACTCACCATCAATATTTCAGGCAGCATTATTTATTGATCACTCATTTGGCCAGGACAAAAGGAGAGGGTAATTCATTCGGGATACAGGGCTGGTAGGGTCAGTTTGGGAAAAAGGTCAAGGAAAGGTAGATAGCTGAGGATCCCCAGCTTGGGCTCCTGCAAAAATACCATTGGATTACAGAGTTTGGAGATTAGGGAAATCTTTGTCTTATTTTTTAACCCCATGATACCCATGAAAGTAAGTGAAGGGGCAGGGGACAGGGAAAACCAGGGCAGGCCTGGGACTGCCACTAGGCTCATATCCATGAAATCCTGTACCGGGTGAGCTTCCTTTCCTCTGGATCCAATCTGCCCCTCCCAAGTTCCTTGTCTCTTGGGTCCCTCTCCTTACCTGACCCTGAAATCGGCTCCAGCAGCCTCTCTAGATGCCATTTCAGGAGCTCAGGTTGGGCCCCTTGGGCTGCAGGGCCCTTTCTGGGTCAGCCTGGCAATTTCCCTGCACCCAGGAGATGCCTGACCCTCACCCAAATGGAATACCTGCCCTCTGGTCTGACCTTCTGAGAGGAGGAGGCAGAGGGTGTGCACACGGGCTGGGCTTAGGAAGCGATTGCTTGAGGATCTATAACTGTTCTGTCTACCCACAAGAATGCTTTCTTCATGAACCTCTAGCTCCAGGGAGTGAGGCATGAGGCACTCCTCTCGCCACACTTGAAGCAGACTGGCTTCAGGAAAGATTGTGCCCTGCAAGAGCCAGGGAATCCCATATTGGGAGGGAGCTGCGCCACCCAGTGGGCTTTTTCTTTCTTGCAGGCATCCTTCCCACTTAGCTCTGCCTCCAGTCAAGATGCTGGACAAACTCTCAGGCAGAACCCGAATGGCTCTAAACCTTCAGGTGCCCTCTTCCTCCAGGCAGGCCTAACCCAGATCAGAGAGGAAAAAACTAGGGGAATTTTGGAGCAAGATGGTCATGTACTGGCTGAAATTTAAGACAGCAGGGAAGCCAGCAGTGGATTTTGACCTGGAAACGGTCTCTCCCTGTTATACTAGGTGCCGCAGATACGGGGACCACGGTCCAAAGCCCCCAGAGCCCCTGTCTCCTCTGCCTACAGGGGCTCTAGAGGCTCTGGACCGTGGTCCCCGTATCTGTGCCTGCCTCTCTTTCCTCCAGGCTGAGCAAGGCTAGGCTTAGGTCTGTTGATAGAAGAAGAGCTGGCACAGGCTGGAGCTGCTGGCTTTCTTCTGGTGTCACGGCCCGGAAATCCCATTTTAAGCAGATTCTCCAGGTGTGGGGCACACAGAAGAAAGGGAGAGGGAGCCAGATGAAGAAGCTCCAGGCCTGAGGCCATTCTATCCAGAAACCTCAAACCTGGAAGGCTGCCCAGTGTCCCCAGGATGGCGGGGTGTGGGACAAAGAGCTAGACCTCAGCCCCTACTCCAAAGCTAATGATCCCTCAGTGCCCACTGAGGACCTAGGCAGCGATTGAGCCCCCTTCACACAGCTCTAGCCATACAGCTCTGTTCTGACCTTTCTGTCCCACTCTCCTGGCATTGAGGGATCTACTGAGACAGAGGGGAGAGGACAGGTGGTCCCAGGGAATGAGAGAGCAAGGGCTCACCTGGACCCAGATGTGTCCCACCAACCTCCTCCCAGGAGACCTCCCACTCATTCTTTTTGTCACACCCTCCATCTCTCTTCTCCCCTGCACCACAGTGGCCAGGCCTCGTGCGGAGTTCTAGGAGAATGATTGTTTCCATGGCAACGGACCAATGAGCTTAGAAATCTGAGCATATTCTTGTTGACACAGGGAAATCCAGATGTGCATAGAGAGCCTAGCAGTGTGGCATCTGGAAGTGACCTCCTTAGCTACCGGTCACTGTGGGTGCCAGTCTGTAACTGTGTGTGTGTAATGCAGCAAATGAGATTTAGGCTCGAGAGGGCCTGAACTGGTTTCTTGGCCATATGGTAGCTGCTAGCACAAGACTGCAGCATCTTACTCTGTGGAGATCTTTCTAGAACAAAGGAGTCTCTTCCCTGAATTCCACCCTGACACTTCGTCTCCTTTCTGATAGAGAAAGGAGCCCATTTGCTCAGAGGCCAGTGGTGACAGAAATGACCTTGAGAGGGCTCTTGACTGGAGGATTCCAGGGAACATGGAAAGGGCATCTCATGCCTCACTTCCACAGCTGGACCTTCTAGGCCAGCTTGGCTCAAGTGTGGCTGGAGGAAGTACCCCTGTGATGCTAGGGAAGGAAGAGAAAAGCCTGGTGTAGGGGCATTTTGCCAACCTTGGGGCCGGAGGCTGGGGCTAGGTCACCACATTCCCCACCCCAGTCCAAGCTCTGCTTCCTCCATTTTCCTTCCGCAAGCCTCAGTGGTTCTTTCTCTGCTCCTTCTCCCTCTCCTCCTTCCCTGCTCTCCCTCTCCTCCCTGTTTATTTATTTCCTTTGTTTATCTTCTTTTCTAAAAATTAATTAATTAATTTACTTATAGAGACAGGGGAAAGGAGAAAGAGAAACATCCAAGTGTGGTTGCCTCTCCCACGCCCCCTGCTGGGGATCCAGTCTGAAGCCCAGGCATGTACCCTGACCAGGAACTGAACCAGCAACCTTTCCTTTTGCAGGATGGTGCTCAACCAACTGAGTCACATAGGTCAGAGCTCCTTTGTTTATCTTCTGATGCTACTTCTACTCCTCTGCCATTCTTTCCCTTCTCCTGAGTTCTGCCTTCCAGGGTCTCAATCCCAGCCACCCGTACCCCTTGGCCCTGGTGACCTGGGCTCTACCTCCCAAGGGCTTAGGCTCCATGTCCTATAGCCTTCCTGGAACCTTGCCCGACCCCTCCCTTTTGGGGCCTCATGGGCTGCTTCTCTGGCCCCAGTCCTTGGGTAGCTGTCCTCCTGTTCCCAGGGTCAGACATGAACCTTGGGGCTGGTTGCTATCTCCACCTCTTTCCTCAACCCACCCGCCTCCTCCTTTCAGTGTCTCTGGTTCACAGCCTCTGTCTGACATTTTTTAGCCTTCCCAGGCACTATGGCCACCCAGCCCGCCAGCCCTGCCCAGCAGTCTAACCTTTCTCCCGGGGGCGTCATTGGGGTCTTTGTCCCCAGAGCTTACCCCGGCACTTTCCACGAGGTACCAGAAAGTCCACTTGGGGAGAGGTCTCAGGGCAGGATTGTTCAAAAACATTTTTTAAATTGATTGTCAGCCCTGAATGGTGTGGCTCAGTGCATTGGGCATCATCCCACAAGCCAAAGGTCACAGGTTCAATATCCAGTCAGGGCACATGCCTGGATTGCAGTCCAGGTCCTCAGTTGGGAGCCTGTAAGCGGCAACTGATTGATGTTTATCTTACACATTGATGTTTTTCTCCCTCTTTCTCTAAATATAAACAAAATCTTTTTAAAAATTGATTTTTAGAGAGAGAGGAAGGGGAGAAAGAGAGAGAGAGAGATTTGTTCCACTTATTTATGAATCCATTGGTTGATTCTTGTATATATCCTGACTGGGGATCAAACCTGCCACCTTGGTGTATTGTAGTGATGCTCTAACCAACTGAGCTACCTGGCCAGGGCCTAGGGCAGAATTCTGAGGGACAACGCAATCCTAGAGCATTGAGGCTTCTAACCCTTCTTAAGTCCTGACTGCTCTTGGTCTCCTGACTTTATCTTGAACCCAGAGTTCCTGGGGTTCACAGTCTGACCTTTTCCCCCTCCCTTGCACAGCTGGGCCCTGCTTCTTGTTTCAGGTCCTTCCCATCTGGACTGGATAGGGCAAGAACAAAGCACAGAGACCAAAATTAATATGGTGCCAGAGTTTGGTTTATTGGCTCATCCAATGCCAAAGGGCCAATGAGCATCCACTTTCTACTGAACTGGGAGTCCCATGGCTCCTGCATTTTTCTTCCCCCTCACACATTCCTCCTGGCTCTGACTGAAACCACGGCAGAAGCTGGGGCAGGGTGTGGAGCAAAAGGCTGGGCTCTGGCAGGAGTCTGCTCACGTGGGGCCCAGTCTGCTTGGCACAGGAAAACCTGGGGGGGAAGGGTGGGCCTCCTGGTGTGGAGGAAAGGAGCTGGCTCAGCGGGGGGCTCTCCAGTGGGCCCCGAGGGGGAGAGGAGCCCCGTCTAGGGGCAGGAAAGGAATGGGAAGAGGCAAAAGAGAACTGAGGTCAGAGGAGGAGGTGAGAGGCTCCTCAGAACCCTGCTGCCTCATGGGCTGGGGTCCTTTGAGGTTCAGAGACTAGGAGGGAAGGCTGAGGGTGGGGAGAGATCACTGCGGGAGGGAAAGTCTTTTACCCCAAATCCCCCAGCCCTAGACCCGGAAACATCCACCCACGCTCACACCCACCCCCGAAACCCCACATCTTTTTGGTGGGGACACGTAAACACACAGTTCATTCAGTGCCCCAGCTACGGCTCTGGCCTGGCCATCCTGTCACTTAAGCCCACACTAAGCCCCTGTCCCCCACCCACAACTGTGGCCTGGAACCCCTGCCCAGGCTCCCTGAGGCCCTCCTCACTCCCCCTCCCCCAGGTGCCTTCCAGCCCCTCTCGGGTTCACCGGGGCTTGACTGCCCCCCGCCCCCAACCCAGGGACAGCAGCAGGTGCGCGTTAGGACCTCAGAGACGCAGATGGCCATGGTCTTCAGCAAGGCACTGGGTGGGCTAACAGGGCTGGGGAGGGGAGAATGGCAGTTCAGGCTCTGAGGAGCCCCCACCTCCTTGGGCGGCTTCGTCTCCAGCTCCTGGTCCAGCCTCTACCTTCTAACCCCCCAGCAGGGCTTCCCTCCTCTTTTCCAAGCCCTTCCAGACAAGTGGCCACTGGGCGGGCACCAGAAACAGCCATCCGAGGGGCCCTGGGGCCTGAGACACATGGGCTACGGGCACAGTGCGGAGCAGGGGCTCTGCAGCCTGTGGGGCGCCGGGACCTCAAGCCGAGTCGCCCCCCGCAGAGGTCTTCTTCTTGGGCCGGGTCTTCAGTGTCTTGGAAGCCAGTGGCTGTGGGAAGGAGGGAGGAAGACAGAGTGCTCAGCCTGGAGCCACAACCCCCTCCCCACCTCCTCACTGCCCCCCACACCCCGCCCCAGCCTTCCAGCCCCTCTCGGGTTCACCCGGGCTGTGACTGCCACTCTCCACCCCCAACCCAGAGACAGCAGCAGGTGCCCAGTAGGACCTCAGAGACGCAGGTGGCCATGGTCTGAGCTCTCACCTCAGCTTTGGGCACTTTTTTGACGGATTTGACCCTCTTTGGGGCCTTGTCTCCCACATCATCCTCAGAGGGCTCTGTCCGGGAATCTGCCTGGTTCGTGCCAGACCTTAAACTCAGGGCAGGGTCATCTCCTGGTTGTGGGGAGAAAAGGAGAACGGGGTTCTGGGTGTCTCTTACACCTGGTCACCTCCTTGCCCTCGTGCCCCCTGCCCAGCCGCGGGCCCTGCCGGTACCTAGGTCCTCAATGGTGTCCAGGAGGCTGCCGGGGCCCGGTCGGAGGCGGCCGTCCGGCCCGCGCAGGGGCAGTGAGTCCTCATCCCGGATCAGGGTCAGGTCTTGCATGCTGAAGCTTCGGAGCTTCTCTGACAGCACCCCCTGGCCCTGGGGTCACCACCACGCACCGGGAGAACCGGAGGAAGGGGCGGGGTGGAGAGAGAGGTCACCATGGGGCACTGGGAAGCCGCTGGGCTCAGTGCCTTCCCATACTGTCCTCATCCAGTCCTAGGGCAGCACTGATGGGCTGGGCCGTACTTTCCCTTTGGATAGATGAGGAAACAGTGGCTCGGAGAGTGAAAGTCACTTAGCCGGAGTGTGGCAGAGCCAGGACTGGAACCCCAAGCTGCACAAGCCCCAAACCTTCACGGCCTTGAGGACAGGGTGGACGCAGAAGGGCCTAACCAGGGGGACGTGATGAGCAAGGTGGGGCCCTGGGGGCTTGGGCCTGCCCCCATCTCACCTTGGCAGCAGCTGTGACGGCGGCGTTGGCAGCCAGGTTCAGGCCCCTCTTGCCCACCCTCATCATGGTCTCATAGCTCTTGTCTCGAGCCTGTGTGATGTACTCGTCGATCTCCTGAGGGATCGGAGGGGGAGGGGGAAGAAGTGAGAGCCAGCCCTCTTGGCCAGGCCCTGCCCTGCCCTTGTTCACACCTGGGCAAAGGCACTGCCTACTGCGGGCCAGGGCCCTGCCAGGTCACTTTAGGCTCTGGGCACCCCCAGGGAGGGCCAGGAATATACGTGGCTGCAGGCACTGGTCTGCCTTGGCCTGGGGCCGGCTGGGAAGCCCAGTGGGAGCAAACCTTCTCCTTGTTGGACAGTGTCGGGTGCACGAACTTGCGGTAGAGCACACTGGAGCCCTTGGTATAGGGGGACAGCAGCCATATCACAAAGGCAATCTTGAGCTCAAAGTAGAAGGGGAACCTGTTGGGGGGACACAGGCAAGCGACAGAGCCCAGGGCAGGGAGTCAGGAGGTGCACTGATCCCCTGCGTGACTCTGGCCAGCCCCCGACCCATTAGTGCTCTGGGGTCTCCACGTGGCCCGGGAGACTGGTCATTTCTAATCTCAAGGGGACTGGGAAGTTCAGCTGAGATCCCAAGTGGGAAGGTGAGAAGTGAGCCCAGCAGGAAGTCCCCGCAGCAGCAGCTCCCTTACCCTCTTCTCTCTTGGGAGTCCCAGTCCTCTCATCCTGACAGAAGACCCCCTATTCCTCTGTCCTGGGGCCAACACCAAGGGGTGCTCTCTCACCTAGGTCTGCTGCATCCTTACCCGCTTCTCCTCCTCCCCTTGCTCCCAGGGAGATGAGGGCTTTTCCAGCTGTGCTCTGGATCCTATCCCTTGCTGCTAAGACATGCCCCTTGCCTCTAAGGATTATTCTCTTTCCATTCCCCACAGTTTCCTCTGTCAGGTTACAAACTCCTTCAGGCAAGTTTCACGAAGCCTCCATCCAAGCTCTCTCCTTTGCTTGTGTTAGTCAGGAGGCATCTACACGCACTGCCCTCAATTTTCAACCCACTTTCCTTCCTCTGCTAACATTATTTTTCTCAAAGGCCATAGGCCCTTGTTCAGCAGGTCCAAGAATAGCATCCTTTCATTCAATGTCGTTTTGTTATAATGTTGATGAGATGGTGTAGGAACTTAACTATTATTTATATCAATTGGCCTACAGTAAAACTACTATTGTCATACACCACTTTGCTTATAGTTGCAGAACCTACTGATTAAGTGAGGACTTAGTGTAATCTACAAATGCAACGGTCTTTTGTCCTCTACCTCTCCCTAAAACTCTCTTCTTGTGATTCCAATGTACTGTGTGTGCTCTGTTAGTCCTCTCTTCCAAGAGGCATGTATGTGCCCATTCAATAAACATTTCTGAGCTCTGGCTGTGAATACACAGATGATTAAGACACTTCCTTCCTGTCCTCATAGGGTTCAAACATAGTCTAGTTGTGTCTGGAAAATGGCTTTGATGTACAAGTATCCCATGTGTTTCGGGTTGAATCATTTATAAATAGAGAAACTGAGGCCTAGAGAGCTGTGACCTGCTGCAGACCTAAGTATGCCTGGCAGAAAGAGCTTTCCTAAATTCTCTTGTGGTGCTTTGGCTCCCACCAGAAAGAGATGTGAAGGGTATGTTTGTTCTTATTTTGCCGATCAAGCCAGGCATCCAGAACCCCATAGAACTGTGGTCTCCATCCTGGGTCTCAATCTTTTGTTTGATTGGCTGGGTAGAGGAAGTCAGAGCCCTGGACACTGAGATGCAGGGACGGGACGCTGGACCTCACCAGGAGAGCACGATATCTGTGAGTGTCTCCGCTGTGGTGAAGAAGGCAAAGACGATCCAGTACATCATCCATTTCACCTGTGGGCGCAGAGGCAGTGTCGGCTGGGGTCTGAGGGGCCTCTGCCTGCCAGCTATGCTAGGGGTTTTATGGGGGAAGGGACATTCAGGACCTCCACTTTGCCTGAGGGTCACACCCAGGCAGGGGGGAATACATAGCCTCCTTTGGACCAGGGTCTCATTAGTCCCAACGGCACTGGTACAAAGTCATCCCATCTATGTGACCTACTATCCTCCCCTATCTCTACCATGTGGGTTGGGTGAGAGCTGAAGGGTCATACACTCACATATTCCTTCACGTTTTTTGTCTTCACGGCTTTGTAGGAAGAATAAGCTGGGTACAGGGTGCCGAAGATGAGCCTAGGGAGGCAGGCATGGTTACTGGGCCTCTCGGCCAAGAGCAGCGGCCTCTCCCTCCCAGTTCTGCATCAGTCCCCACGTAGGTAACAGGAGCTGGATTGATGAACTCATGACTCTGGGGAGCCCTGGCCAGGTAGCTCAGGTGGTTAGAACATGATCCTGCTATGCCAAGGTTGCAGGTTCAATCCCAGATCAGGGTACATACAAGAATCAACCAATGAATGCATAGATCAGTGGAAAAACAGATCAGTGTGGGTTTTTTCCCCTCTCTCTCCCCTCCTCTCTAAAATCAATAGAAATTTTTAAAAAAGACTCAGGTGATACAGAAGCATGGAGGTCCCAGCCAGCTAAGGTGATAGATGTCCTTTCCCCCTCATCGTTCAGCTTTTCTCCAGCCCCTGAGATATAGAAAGACCCAGAGGCCAGAGGGTCCAGTGCGGTCCCTTTGGCCATGGTCCTTGGTTAGGCACAAACATATGGGGGGGCAGGGTCTAGTCACTGCCAAAAGGGTGTCTTCCTTCCCCAAACACCATGTCCAGTCATACCCATCTGCCCTTACCCTCTACTCCCCTATCTCAGAGCCAGGTTGGGCAGGGCCAGGTGTGCGAAGGAACCTGACACTGTCTACAGGGCACGCTACCTGGGAGAGGCACCACTCTGGCCCTAAGGAGCAGAAGGCATAGGTGCAGGAGGCCCTGTGAGGAGCAAAGAGGTTCATTCCCTCAGGTAAGCACTCTTGGACCAGTCTCCGGGGAGGGCCTTGGTCTCGAGACCCTGGTTGGAGTGGACCTGATGGGGATCCCATTAGAGATGATGTACAGGTGCAGGGCAGGGGGTGGGGTGGGGGGCGGTAAGAGGCCCAGGGCCTCTCAGGGACTCATCCAGACAAGAGAAGCAGCTACTCTGAAGGCCACGTGAAATGAGGCCCCTGGATTCCATCTGGGCTGAGCTGGGCGAGAGGAAGGAAGGAGATTCTGGTAGGTTCAGGGGAAGCCAGGACACAGCACTGAATGGGAAGAAGGCAACAGGGAGGGGATTCTGGGGTGTTAGTCCCGGGTGGTGGAGGCTGAGGGTCTGGGTCCTGAGATGAGGTGGGGGTTTTCTGAGGCCATGTGGGGCCCTTGCCAGGCTGAACCCTTTGACGATCCGGAGGGTAGGTACTGCCTGTTCCCATATGGACCGGCCTTATAGAGGCAGGATACTTGGACCCGGCCTGTGGAGATGGGGTGGGGGTGGAGTCCCCAAGGACAAAGTCTGGGGTGTGGGAGCAGGGTTCCCTCCTGCAGCCTAGGAGAGGTGCAGTGACACAGCTCCATGACTGGCTGGCATCCTGGAATGAAGGCCATCTAGCGCCCCCCCTCCGTGGCTTCCCTGATCCCAGGCTGAGCCGCACATCCTCTCGGGGTGCCTCCCACACTTTGTCCTCCTAGCATCTCTGCCTCCCCACACCCAGATGTCGCCTCGGGGGCCCTCAGACCACGTGCCCTCACCCCCATCTCCTGACAGTCGGGGGGAGAGGGAGGGACCTGGCCCTTTAGGGAGGCCAAGGCTGTTGCTACGGCCCTAACTGTGGAATGAGGAGGCCCTGCCTTGCTCCCCACTCGTCCATCAGCTCCCTCTTCCCAGGGGGCCGAGGGCCGAGGTCTGAGCGGCTCCTCCAGACCAGATCTGCTGGGTGGGGAAAGGGACCTACCCGCCCCCCGTAAATCAAGCCATGCTGCTCAGCCCTAGGATGAGGCTGAGAGACGGAGCAGGGAAATTAAAAATGAAAGGGGTGGGAAGCCAGGCCTGCCAGGCTCCTCGATATTCGTCCCCAGCCCTGGGTCCCCACACCTCGATGTCTCCGGGGACCCCACATAGCGACGATGTGTCTTCGGGCGACTGTGCTGCAGGAAGCCCCCGAGCGGTCCACCCCGGGCTTCGGGACCCCCGGCCCCATCCCCCTCCCGCCCGCCGCGCCCGCCGCGGCACTCACACCACCAGGCGAGAGATGATCCAGGACACCATGGCGGGGCGCGGGGCGGGGACCCCGCCCGGCCGCGGATGCAGCTGCCGGAGGTCGAGCGGCGGCGGCAGGAGGACAGTAGCAGCAGCAGCAGCAGCAGCAGCCGCCGCGGGGGCCGCGGAGCGACGAGGAGCCGCCGCCGTTAAAGGGGAGGTCCCTGCCGCAGCGGCCGGCCGTGGGCGGCGGTTCTTAAAGGGGAGGCCGCCGCGCCCCCCGCACCTGCTGTCGCCGGGCATGCGCCTTTGACCCTCGGTGCCCCGCCGTCTGCGCGCATCTCCCGCTCATCGTCCTCGGGTTCCAAGCTCTGGCCGAGGTCCTCAGCGCCTTCGCGGCTCTGTCCTGACGTCCAGCCCGTCCCCTGCCCTGCGCACGCTGGGCTGAAAGGCTTAACTATCCCACAAGGAATAACATCTGTGACTTTGAATGCTTACTGTGCGCCAAGCCCTGTGCTGAGGGCTTCACGTGCATTGTATCAGTGAGTCCTCACAACCAGCCTCTAAGGCAGAGGTTATTAATTGTCCTCATTTCAAAGGTGAGGAAATGTGAAGACGTATGGAGGTTCAGGTATTTGCCAAGTGTCACAAAACCACTAAGTCACGCTTCTAAGATGCGAACCCAGGCAGTCTACTTAAATAGGCTACTTCTCCCAACCCTCCTTCCCCAACACAGGCCCTGTAAAGACACCTACCTGAGAAGTCCTGAAACCTAAGTTATAGTTGCACCTGTTCACCCTACCTCTTCTCAGCCACCAGTATAACCAACCCCAGTTGGGTTCTGGCTCGTGTGACTCAGTGGACTGAGCACCAGCTTGCGAACCAGAGGGACACCACTTGGATTCCTGGGCAGGGCACAAGCCTGGGTTGCAGGCCAGGTCCCCGGTTGGAGGCGTGCAACAGGCAACTGATAGATGCATCTCTCACATGTTATTTCTCTCTCCCTCCCTTCCCCTCTCTCTAAAAGTAAATAAAAATCTAAAAACAAAAAATCCCAACCCCAGTTGGAAGAAAACCCCTGAATTTGACCCAGCTTTTTTAGGGTTGTCAGTCTCTAAGCTTTGCAGGGGAGCCCGGTGCGCTCAGGGTGACCACTCTGGGGCAGGGGGTTGAGCCAGACCTTCTCCCAAGGCCTGAGGTCTAGGTTGGAGGTGCATCCAGGGGCTCCGGTTCCACCCCCAGCGAGCACGGACAGCTCTGCATGCCCTAATTCTGAAGACATTTATATCCAGAGTGTAGGCTAGCCCCAGCCCGCCTCCTGGTTCCCACTGAAGCAACAAAGCTCCAACCTCCACAGCTCCCATCCTCCCCATCGCTTTCCTTTCCTGTCCCATTTCAAAGCTTCTGCAGCCATTTACCTTTTATGTGGGGTGTCACACTTCTGGTGATCACAGCATCAACCCGTGCCCATCCAGGCTGAAAGAACATGCTCAGAGCTCTGTATTTCAGCCATGGTCCTATTCAATCTTGGTATTTTTGCACCACACAATGAACTATTTCCACTCTGATAATTGTATTTCCAGGCTTAAACACCTTGGAACACGTTTTCCAACAGGCTCCAGAGAAGCGGCCTCTAATGACCCTTCTTGCTATTCTTTACAACTTCCTCTTCAAAAGGCCTGTCCTAATTAGAATACAGTCTGTCCAAGCTCTTCAAGCCACTTTCATTGCTGCTTGATAAAAATAAATCCCCTCTGGGTCTTCTCCCACCAACTCTGAGGTGGATCTAGAGACACATGTTTTATATGTGGGCCTCCTGCTTTGAGGAACTCCACCATGGACCGTTCAAAACCTTGCTCAGGTCACACCCCATGTGCCTTTCCCCTAGAATGCCCCAGGAGGGTAGGACCCCACCTTTCCCACTCCATTCACTGAGCATGGACTATGGGAAACCATCTCTCCTCCCATCCTCTAACTCATGTGGGCCCTCCCCCCTCACTCCAAGCCCTCAAACCACAATGACCTGGCATTTCCCTCTCCCAACAGGGAACAATTTTGGAAGCAAAGGGCAGTAATCAGATGCAGCCATGTAATGAAGATCTGAAAATGAACCATCCTCTACTTCCAACCCCAACCTCTACCTGGCCTTTCAGAATGGCTGGCACAAGAAGAATTTAGTTCACTCCAAACAGGTTTGTTAGATTTTTAATAAGAACATGGAAATCCCAATCAGCCCTTCAACAAAATTAAAGTACAGAAAGTGAAATTAAAAGTATTCTACAGTAAATGACTTTTATTTAAAAAAAAAAAAAAAAAGTAACTGTGAACATATAAACAAGCCTGCAGGGCACTACAGTACAGCCAGAAAGAAGACAGATACATTTTCCAATGTACCCGTGGGCTAATGAATTCCATTATTTTCAAATAAATTCTTAATAAAACTCCACTGAGTTGGAAAGTTTTGCTGAAAATATTTCTGGACAAAAAACCCCCAAAACAAAAAAAGCCTCATGTAGGAAAACAAACTTTCCTTTGCATTTGGAACTGTTAAGAGGTGTCCCAAGGGAACGCTGGTAATAGGTGGAAACAGTTCCTGAAGTCACCAGTGTGTGTGCGTGTGGAACACACCACAGCTCAGACACGACAGAGTTCTTTCTCACATGGCTGTTCCCTCAAGATAGGACTGAGATGGGAGGGGGAGGAACTAAAAGAATCCTAAAAAGCCAATTCTTTTAAATTCTGCTTTGGCTAATTTTGTGCTATAATGGGCAGTTGATTTCTAAAAATCATATTTCTTCAAAGAGTTTTATTGAAAGGAAGACTAAATGTAATGTGCCTTTCCTCATAATCCAGGAAAACAACTGTGGTATTTCAAAAATTCTAAAAATATCTACTTTCATGAAATAGTAACTATTTCACTACAAACCTATTTTTCACTAAATACACACGTTTCCTAATCCTGGAGCCTCCTGGGAAAAGCAGTGGGTCCTCCCCGGGTCCTGCAAGACTCCAGTGTTCACGGGAGAGATTGTGGGGAATGGCTTCACCCTGTCTCCTGGGATGGGCTGTGTCAGAGGTCACGTGCAGAGCCGCTGTCGGGCTTCCATCAGGCTTGGTTAAGCAATTAGCCTCTACTTGTACCACTTGTGTGATCCCCCATACCTCCAGACATTCCCACTTAACTAGGCACGAGAGAGAAAGAAAAGTGTGCCCACATTCCTGGTTTCCACAAATCCCAAATCACAAGACTGTGCAGAAAAGCCCAGCGATGTTCAGGCAATTCAGAGTCCCAAAAGGCCACAGGATGGGAATGTGGCACCCTCGGCGTGGAGTCCGAAACTGTGTGTGTGAACAGTGTGTCTTTCCTGTGTCAACCTTCAGTGTTGAGGCAGCGTAGAAAAGAGTGGCTGGAGAGTTTGTAATACTGACCACACTGGCTCCGAGTGAAGGGCCTCCGCTCCAGCAGAGAACCCTGCCGTTCCCTGTAAGTGTGTGAGTGAAAGACCTGCTTCACAGGGGAGTTGGAATTTCTCCACGCCTAAGACCTTGCCAGTTTGGATTCATGAGCTTTGAGGGTGCCAACAGCATCTTTCACTGCATGATAAATGATGTTCTTCACCTGGAGAGAGCAAACAGCACAGTCAACACGGCAGCTCCATGCTGTCTTCTGCAGATGGAAATGTATGCTCTACACTGCCTATAAGCCTACTGATTAGTGAGGAAACTCCTCAAGCAGGACTGCACGCTTCCCAATACCATTCCAAAGGTGGTTTACAAGTCACACAGCATATAAAGTCTATGTTCAAAAAGAATAATGAAATCACTTAAAGGCTCTATAATCACCACCATCTGTGTGATTACTATGTGCCAGGCACTATTGCTAAGCTCTTTATGTGGATTTTTATTTAATTCTAACCATAATCCCATGAGATAGATTGATTTATTATCCCCCACTTTATAGATAAGAAACTGAAAAAATCAAGGTTCCATTGCTAAGAACCTTGTCTAAGGTCCTGTAGTGAATAAGAATGTATTAAACAAAGTGGGCAGGTAAGATAATTGGGTATTTTTTCCTTTTGTACTTGTAGATATTTTCTAATTTGTCTAAAAGAAACACATACTACGTGTGAAGTAGGAAGATATAGTAAAAGTTATTAAAAGAAAGTAAATAGCTCTGGCTGGTGTGGCTCAGTGGACTGAGCATCGGTCTGTGAAACTGAAAGGTCACCGGTTCAATTCTCAGTCAGAGCACAAGCCTGGGTTGTGGGCCAGGTCCCTGGTTGGGGGCATGTGAGAGGGAACCAATTGATGTTTCTCTCGTATTATCAATGTTTTCCTTGCTTCCCCTCTCTCTAAAAGAAATAAATAAAATCTTAAAAAAAAAAGAAAAAAAAAATAAGAAAGTGAATAGACAGTTTTAAACCAAGATGGTGACTATATCTGGGGAAGGAGAGTGGAGGGATAGAATGGGAAGGGTACCTGGAGATTTCAACAATGTAATTGCTGTACATGTTTATGTTGTACATGTGTTATGTGTGTATTTATGATGTTTTATTTCTTCAGCTGTGTAATGGACACATAAGCCCACTTGTGCTACTTTCCACTAAATTTTTTGTATTAATTCAACGAATATTTACTGAGTACCGACTATATGTCCAATACTGTGCTAGTGAAAAGCAGTGAATAAAACAGTAAAATCCCTGCCTTCGTAGAGCTTAAATAGCTTATATTCTAGTAGGAATAGAAACCAAAAGATAAAATAGAAAATATGTTAGATGGTAAAAAATACAACAGAAAGAAGTAAAGCAGTGGCAGAAGATTAGAGGTGACCTGTTAGAGGCAGAGACCTAATGGAGGTGGGGTCTGAAATATGTATGCCTGAATATTTGCACTGTCTATAATGTCAATGTTATAGTTATCAATATCATTGTACCTTGTGTAAGAACTTTATGGTTGAGCCCTGGTTGGGTTAGAGCACTATACAGATGTGCCAAGGTTGCAGGTTCGATCCCCAGTCATACAAGAGGCAACAATGAATGATTAAATAAGTAGATCAACAAAATTGATGTCTCTCTCTCTCTCTCTCTAATTAATTTTTAAAAAAATATTTAAAGAAAAGAACTTTATGGTTGAAATATTCTACAATTTTGAAA